TTCCTGCATCCCTTCTTCACTGTCCTGAAGCCTCCATCACCCATCCAGTGGACAAGGGCAGTGAGCACAGCCACCGGGACGTCCCTTCAGAGGGTTATAAGGAAGTGAGATCAGCATTTCTTGCTGAGGCAGATACTAAAGGTGTGTCACTTTCCTGAAGCAGATGCCAGCAGTGCTTACCTTTGGAGTTTTATATTAACCCAGCTGGCATTCACTGAGTAGATGCTGCTCATCATGGGCCATAGTGTGTCAGGTACCAGTTCAGGGGGTGGTTCTCCTCTGTAGAGGCCCACTAGCTCATGAGGGATGCCAAGCCCAGGCTGCAGTTCAGGTACAGATAGAGTACTGTTGGACTGGTTTATTTATTGGACTTTATTGGAAGGAGATGGGGTTTTCTTCAAGCTTCCTGAAGGCAGAGGTGTGGAGAGGTGAGGAGGAGATGGAATTCCAGGAATGGAGGGAGGAAAAGCATGGAACAGCTCAAGGACTTTTGGCTCCTGTGGCTTGAAAGGACTGGTAGCCATGTAGGGAAATAGTGGTGGGAGATGAGGATGGAAAGGTGTAGAATCAATTCCTGGAGTGTAAGAAGGATTATGTAAAGTCTTAAGGTCATGTGGGGGATAGGAGCTTCCCTTGGCTCCTATCCCTCACTTCACAAGATCTCTCCCATTTTTTTGACGTATCCTGTCACTGTGGTCTGATCCCAACATCCATGAGAGAGAGTTGAAATGTTTTGAACATAGGATAACATGGAAGAGAGGAAAGGCAGTTCTATGAGCTTGTTGTCCATGTGATTGAGAGCTGGACCCTAACTCAGAGCTGTTGGGGTGTTTCAGGGTCTCAGCTGTGAAAGCCTGCTGTGGGCAAAGAGTTCCCTTTAGACACCTGTAGACTGACACTCCAACCAAGGTGGGCTTCCAAGGGGTGGGGCTGTTCACGTTTGTTGTTTGGAAACTCAGCTCTTAGGATTTTGTCCAATATGTTCATGTGTAGTGATTGCCCTCTGCACTTTTATCAGGAAGGAAAACAAATGCACTTAGATGGGAGCTGAGCTTCATCTCACTGAGCACGGATCTCAAGAGCTTTTTTAAAAACACAACTTAACAAAAGAGACTTTGCTTCCCAGACGCTGAACCCTCTGTCAGATGAATACTTTCTCTTCCTTTCTCCCAGGAGCGAATCTGTTTAGCTCGACAGATTGAGAAAGCCGAGTATCGGAACTTCCAGGCTTGTCTGCACAACTCTTGGATTGAGCAGGCAGCAGCTGCCCTTGAGATTGAGCTGGAAGAAGAGATGTATAAGGGTAAGTGGGCTAGATGGGACTTGAGGAAGGGTGCCTTCAGCTTTTCTCTTTTGTTTTTCTTTAAACATTGGTCTTGTCGGAACCAACCCCACTACCATGGGTCCCGTCAAAATCAGCAGGACTCCTTCCTTCTTTGCCACAGGCCCTAGTCCCAGATGAGCCTAAGCCCTTGGCCTTTGTTCCCTCTGAGTTGTCCTGGAGCCTTCAGCTGCCCCTTGTGTGGAGAGGCAGTGGAGCACATTGACTTCTGGGGCAGGTGCTGAGGCCAGGGCACCTGTGTTTAAGTGCTGGTTCATTCCCTTAACTGGCTGTGTGACCAGGTCAAGTTCCTTAACCTCTGTTGTAGCCAGGTTTTCCTCATTTATAAAATGCAGGTTGTAAAGTACCTAATGGGGTTATTGTGAAGATGGCTTGAGTTAATGAAGGTAATGTGCCTGTAACAGTGCCTGGCAACAGAGTATTTGGTACACTTGCAGTTATCATTTACGGTCATTGTTACTACTGTCCCTATCTTCCAAGCTGACAGAGCGTCATCCCATCTTGGTCTCAGGACATGAACAGAGTAGGAATTTTTATCCTTTTACATAAGGAAACTAGAGGTTCACAGAAGTAAAGCGATTGTGCAGGAAAACAACTCCATCACCAGGCATTTCCTGAGCCCCAACTCTGACCCTGGGTCAAGACTGAGGGTTTAGGGTTGAATCTGTGTGGTCCCTGCTCTAGGAAAACTTCTGAGTCTAAGAAGTGGTGGAACCACATCGAGAACTGATGACACTAGTATTAGGTCCAGTGCCATTTCCACCCCACAAGTGGGCAGCTTAGCTAAGGTGTTGGCATCTGGATGCCAAAGAAGCCAAAAAATCCATAGGCAGACTTACTGTTGTCTGCTCAGCATGAAGTCAGGAACCAAATTGCGGGTAGATGATGGTGAGCTGGTACTCTTAGTGGCTTGGGCTTGGGGCTTACACTGTAGATGTGTGAGCCCCTGGCTTCCCTTCCTGTGAACAGGTGGGCGTGGAGTCCTTTGGCTCTGCCCGCCTCCGCAGGTGCGGCCACTGCACAGGTGGTGGGTGCAGGAGAGCTGGGCTGTGCAGATGGCGCACACTGTCTCTTAGGGCTTTGTAGTTTTCTCATCACCATACCCCAGGCAGCAAGCAGATGGGTTGTAGGAAGAACCCTGATCTTCAGGTCAGGAGACTTGGTTCTAATCTCAGTTTGACACCTAGCTGTGCGAGCTGCGGCAGGTGCCCTCTGTTTCCTTGAGTGTAAAATGAAGATCATTCCTATCTTGGAGGGTTTTGTGAAGCTGCAAGGACAAAGTGGCCCTGAGTACCCTCCTGTACTTGAAGTTAGCCAGGTAGCTTCTGCAGAGAACTTTTGAGCCCTGCTTCCCCAGTTCCAAAACATTTTTCATCACAAATACTATCCATCAAGGCTACAAATCATAGTAAATTAGATCTATTTTGTATTGTGTTTCCAGGAGGAAAAGCTGACCAACAAGAAGAACGTCGAAGACAAAAGCAGATGAAGGTCCTGAAGAAGGAGCTGCGCCATTTACTTTCCCAACCATTGTTCAAAGATGACCAGAAAACTAAGTATCCAACTCAGTCTGGCAAGCCGCCTGTGCTCGTGGCTGCCCCAAGGAGTCGCGAGTCTGCCTTGAGCTGCCTCTCCAAACAGAAGAAGAAAAAGAAGCCACAAGAGCGGCAGCAGAAACAGCCACAGCCAAGTGCAAGTGCACAGTAATTGCCCTGCAGGTCAGAGTCTGCTGGTGACTGTACATTGTGGCTGTGTTTATGTGGAAAATCTCCCCTTGTCATTTCCCTCCACTGTTAACCTGCCTAGAAAAAAGTCTCATGCAAATGTGTGTTTTGGGGAGTAAGAGTTCAGTGCAGCAGCTTATGTATGTCTCTTATTTCAGTGTTCACAGGTTTCTTGTATGTTCAACTTGATTTCCTCAATTAAAAACAATAGTCAGAACCAGCATGTCATGCTGAGTTTTTCGTCAGAATCCAGGGGGGACACTGTTGTAGTCCTCTGGCTACAGGATTCACATGTGGCACATCTCACCCTGCTGGACTGTGTGGATGGAAGACAGCTGGTCAGAGAGTTTTGCATATTACTCTCCATCAGTTCTGCCTGGGTCCTCAGCATGTGTCCTGATTTTCGCAATACCAGAACCTGAACAGTTCCCTAGCTCTCCGCCACTCCCTCATGGCTGTTGTGTGAGCCACCCTGGGAGGTGGGCAGGAAAGAGGTTGCTGTCCTCCAGTTCCAAGAGAACACAGGCTTCCTTAACATCAGAGCCACGGGGGCCAGGACCAGTATGCGAGTCTGGCGTGGGAGATGCTTGGGATCTGGCCCTCCCCACGTTCGCCAACCTTGTCTCTCCACTCCTCTCCTCTGTGTGACAGAGCTGCTTGCTGCTACGGTCCTGTTCGCCCCTTCTCTTGTCCTGAGCCTTTCTCTGCACAAGCTTTTCCCTCAGCCTGGTTGCCTTTCCCATTCTTGAGGACTGCTGTGTGTTCTCTAGGTCCCTGGGCCCCAGGGGGGCCACACATCCTGTGGGCTCCCACAGTGCCTGTGCTTATCCTCGCCACAACACTCCCCACAGTTTTCTCTACTAAGCTGGAGAGCAGAGGCTGTTTTATTACCCCCTAAAGCCCTTGGGCATGGTGTAAATATGTGCTGAGGGAACCAGTGACTTCCCAGTACCACCCCAATTTTCTCTGAGTCTGTGGATAAGTAGCTGCAATCATGGGAGAAGCACAGGTTTCTGCACAGCTAAATAATGGTCTTCTAAACAGGTGTTCCCTCGGCCTGATAGTTGGCGGCATGGCAGCAGCATTCCCTCCACCCCTCTGGGTGACTGCAGCAGGATAGTTGGACTAAACTCAGATTCAGGTATAACTGAGTGTTGTGTTAACCATGTGCCAGACACTGTATGTACCTTACTTAGTTTCTGTCAAGGCAAGGAGACATAAGTCTTACAACCCTCTTTTACAGCTGAGAAAGCTGGCATGAAGTGCTTAAGACTAGCTCAGGATTACACAGCAGCCAAGTGGCAGAGCTGGGATTAGAACCCTAGGTATTTACTTGGAGGCCAGGGGCAAATTCAGAAAAACTGCTTTGGTCTTGAAAGAGCAGTGTTGCCAAAGAATGTCACCAGTAACCCGGAGAGGAAAATGCAAATGAAAACAGCCCTGGTCTGTGAGGTCAGCTTCTGAGTGACAGCTTTCAGAGGATGGCAGGGGACTCCTCATTTTTCAGATGATGGACTGGAAGTTTAAGCAGGCTCAGGTCCCTTAGCAGTACTTGAGTCGTGATCATGAGGTCTGAGGCCACTTGTTGCAGGCTAGACAGATCCGCCAGTGTCCACTGACACCCTGCTCTTGTCCTCTAACAGCAGGTTCTTTTTCTTCTCTCGTGGGGTAACATCAGAGAGGTAGGTTTTAAAAGAAAGACCAGCCTCTTGGGCAGGTCAGCTCTCTGAGCTGATGAGGTGAAGCTTTGGTGAGGCCTGTGGTTCCTTCGGTGCCTCTAGCCCGGGGCAGAACTTCCCTGAGTGTCTGGATCTTTCACTGAACAAGGCACCCCCTCTCCCTGGCCGCCCCACTCATAGCTGTAAGCCCCACAGAGGAGGAGGGTGGCTCTTGTGCACACCAGGTGTCAGGGATTAAGAAGCCAGACACAGGTTGTTAGGAAATCATTTTAATGCTACGAAAATGTTTTTGCCAACTGCCTGGAGAAGCTGGAGGGCCTGGCCCACATTCCACAAGACCTGGGGTCCCCTAAGCAGCCACAGCTCCTCCACCCCCCATTTCTGGTCAGCATGGGAATGTTTGGTTCTTAGATTTTATCTAATGGTACCCCACACTTTCCACTGTTCAGGAACCCACAGTGCCACTGCCAGAGGTGTGTTCTCCATCTCTCAGTGTTCTGCTGCCTCCCGTAGGGAAGGCTAGGGTGTGGGCCATCCCCCTTGTAGAACACGTGCCATGTGTCAGGTCTTATGGTGGTTTTCATACGCATAATCTCCTTCCACTTTAAACCAATAATCCTGTGATGTTCAGGTATTGTCTCCATTTCACTGATGTGGGAAATGGGGCTCAGAGAGGTGAACTGACTTGCCAAGATCACATAACTATTAAATGACAAAGATGAGATTTGAACCCAGGCAGTCTGGCTCCAGAGCCCCTTTGTGCTTAAAATAGGAACCCAGTCAAACGCAAGGACAGCTGCACGTTTTGTTGCTAAGTGTCTCTGGAAAGAAGGAAATGTGCAGTACAAAGACACTTTCTGAGCAACTTTCCTGTTAGGTTTTGCTCTGGAAAGCAGTGGCTTTATGGGGTGGGGCGGAGAATAATGCAGGAAGTGTGGCTGCTGCACTAAGGTCATTTCTATGGATGATGGTCTGAACAAGTTACGACAAATTTCATGGAATTCTGATGCTCCTTTTTCTCCACAGTGCTTTCCTGCAGAAAAGATCTGAGGGCGGGTGTGAAGGGAAGAGAGAGTGGCTTGGATTCGGCCAACGGTTTAGCCAAGAGCAAGGTCATGAGAATGACTTGGCCTGTCTGTCTCGGGCATTCTGGTTCTAAACTAATGGCATCTCTCCTGGGAGGAAGCCCCGTAGGATCGCCAGCAGGCTCTCGGGCCTGGAAACACAGCATAGGCAGGTCTCAAGAAGGAATTTCCTCAGCCAGTATGCCAAAGAAAAGGCTCTGCTTTTGTAAGCGCCACTCAAGCCACATTGGCAGAAAAATGGCGGCCAGTGCTGCTTATGCTGTGCTTGAGAGCTCGACTGGGGGCTTGGGGCCCAGCTCACAGCCTCGTGGAGCGGCCAAGGGTGTTTAACTGGGCACCATGTATTCACACCCTTTGTTTGGAAACGGGGATCCTGATACTCAGAAATCATGTGACATGTTCCCCCAGTCTTCCAGGGCACTTGGCAGAGAACCTAGCACTCTGACCTAGAGCAGTGTGGGACCTGCACCAATTCAGAGGGCAAGGTCAGGTTTGCATTCCTGTGGAAAAGTGACATAATCACTTTGTTTGAACATTGGTTTCAAATTCCAGCTGAGGGCAGTATGGGAACCTGGGTCCCTGCCTGGAATTGAAGCACCCTGACATCTGTCTTCACAAAGGTAGAAGAGAGTACAAACCTGATGTTTGTATGCAGGGACTCAGAACAGTCCACTACCCAGTCCTCATGCACAGCCTGTAGTCTGGCTGTCGGCAGACTTGTATCACAGCACCAAAAGGTTCTTATAAATCCCTGTAGAATGGAGCCTGTGAGAAGTCCTTTGATTAAGAAGTACCCCCAGAGGGTTCCACACCCCTGCATTCTCCATTTCCTTCCGCAGACGAAGAGCGCAGTGCCCCAGCCCGGTAGGGCTCTTGGAGGTCCTGAGGCAGCAAGGTGGGGAAGTTACTAAGTGGCATGTCCAGGTGGATGAGCAAGGGGGTTGCCAACCAGGGCTCTTGGCTGCCAGGCAGTTTCTAAAGTGGGAATCTCCCCCACTGCCAGTTCCCTTAGCTTGTCTCTCTTCCTTCCCGCCTAACCTCTCACCAGCCATAAACCAAGCAAAAGGGGAAGAGGGGGAGGAAGCCAAAGATAACCCTGCAAAGCTTGTTTGTGGTGCTCAGCTGGAGTCTATGGCCACATGTGCTAGTGTCTCCACTTGGCTGAGTATCTACTTTCTCCTTCCAGGATATGTTTGGGATGATGAGACAGCTTCCCGGTCCCAGACCCTAGTCTTTCTCAAGCCTCTGTCCTGGGGCTGGTGGCAGAATCCTGAAAGGGCTGCCCTTTGAAAGGCAGGCAGTCCTGGCCCTGAGAGAGGTAGCGGGGGCTCCAAGACCTTGAGCTTCATGCTGAAGGCTGAAGGCCCCTTTCTAGACTTTGGCATAAAAGTCTTTTTCTTCCTTAAACTGGGGATAAGAAAACACTCCCACCATGGATATTTGAAACCACACTGAGGCCCTTGCATTCAAGTTGACTTCGACTGGCCAGTGCTTCAGTCAGCCATCCACCGAAGTCCAGTCCAACAGCTGATTTGGACTTGCTGTTGTTTTTATAGAACTTGTACGTCAGTTGACCTTGAGCTTTTCCCTTTGGATTTGGCCAGTGGTTTTGTGAGAGAAAAAGCGGAGGAAGCTGCATTGGGGTGCGGGTGGGGACTTGATAATATGGGTAAATCTAGTAACCACATTGTTTTTTCATGTGAAACCTTCATAAGAGTGTATATCAATCATACCTTAATAAAGAAAAAGGGGGGAAGCCAAGAGCAAGACCATGAGGATGACTTGGCCTGTCTCTCTCAAGAATGACTACCTACAGAGAGGTACTACCCCCGGTGAAAAAACAGAGGACCTCTTTTTTACACAATAGAATGTCAACACTGGCAGGAATCTCCTCCAGATGAAGAAACAGGCCCAAAGGGGAAAGGTGATCTACAGGCCTCCCAGGGAACTGGGAACAGAGCCAGGGGTCCTCGCTTCCTACCCAGAGTAGGAAAGTATTTGGTCCCCACGAAAATAAATACTAAAAATACTGCTAAGTTTCCACGGTCCATAGTGGATAGCCTCATTCCCAGCGATTGTGCCCAGGAGGCTGTACGTTTTATAATTACAGTCTAAATAGCTTAAAGAATTGAAAAGCCAAATGTTCCATTCAGAATGCAATCCTGTTAGGTGACAGGCTCCACTGCATCGTCTAAACTTAATCAGCGTTTATCAGTTGCATAAAGGATGTTGTAGTGTGATGTTTTATAAAGCAGGTAAACGGAAGGGATGGCAGCCTCAGGGAACACGTGGTGGTTTAGGGCTGTATCCAGCTCATCAACGTACTCCACCTGCAGGGCAATATTTAGTGCCTGAGACAAGGCTGTGATCTGGATGTGGTCACATTCCATGGCCATGGGCTCCACTTCCTGCAAAGACCACGATGAAAATACAAAGCCAGTTTAGGAAGGAGGCCTGCAAGAAAACAGGTGAGAATTCCAACCCTAAGCCAAAGCCTCTGTGGTCCTGGGTCAAAGCCTCTGTGGGGGTAAATAATCTTCATAACAACCTATGAGGTAGGTACTGACATCCCCATTTTACAGAGGAGGAAACAGAGGCTCAGGGAAGAAGTGACATCTAGGAATCAACCAGAATTGCAAAGCTTGCATCTAGGTCTTGATTCCAGACCCTCTGGTTGATTAAGGAATTTTTCCACTTGGACTTTCTAGTCACAGATTCCTTAGCTGTCTTTCAGGTAAATACCATTATCTCATAAACAACACATCTTGGGGCAAATGGGGCTCTAGAGCTGGTACTCTGCCACTCTGTGGACAGTACAGTACCATGCCCTCATTTTCACATGGGAACTCTGAGGTCCACTGCAGGAAAGTGACTCTCCCAGAGCCATACAGTTTGGGCAGCTCAAGCAAGACCTGTTCCCAGCTTGCTAGTCCCATGCTTTTTGAATTACAAATGGAGACAGCAGTCAAGGTCCCTGGCTGGGAATGCTGCTGCTGGTCTCCCAAGGGGAGCAGGATGAGGGCAGAACTGGGGGCTGGGGACTGGTCTCCAAAGCCTGAGACCCCCCAGGACCTACATGAGTGCAGAAGTCCTTGATGTCCATCTCCTCATCGATGAAGTGTCTGAAGAAGTCTGCGTGGTTCTTGATGAAGGCGGAGGTGAGCAGGCGCAAGAACTGCACGATACAGTCCGAGGAGCTCTGGTCATTGAACACTTTCAGCAGGCTGGACACGGAGCCATCCTCCTCCACCAGCTCGACCACACTGTAAAACTGCACCCCACTGGCTGTCAGCTGGGGAGGCGCAGGCAGAGTCCGCCGCCCACCTGCCCTCCACAGGACTACCTCCACATGCACATTCATGTTAATTCCTCAAGTGGAGGTCCCCAAATCACATCTCCCCAGAGCTAAGTAATGCTTCAAATCCTTCACAGTGACCACCTTAGCCTGGAGTTCCAGGGAACAGTAGTTAGGGTCTCCCTCCACTGGAAACAGTCCTCCAACCCCAACCCCTATGCTAATGAGACCCGGGCAGTGGGGTGGAGAGGGAACGGGGTGAAGGAGGCCAACAACGGTTTGCAGCCTGAGGTACTGCCTCACAGGTGCTTCCTCCCAGAGGGAGGGTGGGGCCCTGGGCTCCCTGTCTGCACAGAGGCAGGAAGCAGCCCTCAGTCCTTCCCCCATTGGGAGGAGCCAGAGGGGCACAGGCACAAGAGCCCCTGGCTGTGAGGGGGCTCTGACCAGTGCCACTCCTGTGTGCTCTGCCAGCCTGGAGGGACCTGTCCCTCAGATGTTGTGCCCACATTAACTCACAGCATTAAAGAAGTTTCGGAACTTGTGCTCTTCAAAGCCGGCAGCCAGAAGATCATTTGGGGTCTGCAGGACATGTTCTTTGAACCTAAAGGGGGGCAGACTGGTGCTTATGGGAAACGCTGACAGGGAGCGCTGCTGTGCTGAACAGCACCGTCCCACTCCGAGCCGCTGCCCCCACCCGAGAAGGCGGATGTCACCAGCAAGTGAAGGACTCTTCTACCTTCAATTAGGACAGGAATACTAACACCCCAGAAACAAACTGCCACCACCAATCAGGCCTCCTGCCCCCTGACCAGTAAACCTTTGCCAGCACTGCCTGACCTTCAAGACCTGGTCAATGGCCCTTGCTTTGTCAGTATTGGATCTTCCCTCTCCCACTGCAGACCCACTAATGGCACGGCCCCATTCTGGCACCCATCCTGATACTCTTGGGGGGCACGGTGGGGACTCCACCCAGCCCGTGGTCTCAGAACACAGTTTAGCAGCAAAGACAAGGTATAGACCAAGTGGTCCATGGAGGGAGGGATGCGTCCTATGCAAGAACGACCAAGTGGAGGGGCTCTAGGGGACCAGCTGGCCGAGATAGAACTGCAGCCTGTCCCCTGGGAAGGGAGACCAGACTCCAGTGAGGACCCAGAAAGGCCTGGGGAGGCTTAGGTGCTTTGTAGCAGGAGAGGGGGTGGTGAGGAGAGGGGTGGGGTGTGTGAGTGGAAACAGGCCTCCTAAAGCAGCTTCCATGAAGGGTACTGTGAGGACCCTCCATCCCTCTGTCCCTGCAAGGCTGTGATGTTCAGTCTGCTCCCGGCTCTCCTGCCCAGTCACCACTTCCCCTCCTGGTCTCCCACCCATGAACCTTCACCACAGTGCCACATTCATTATTCTCTAATGACTGCTGACCGCCCTGTGCCAGGCCCTGAGGACACAGAGATGAGTGACATACAGGCCCAGTCAAGTCAGGGGCAAACACCCAGGCCAGGACTCGGGCACGAGGCAGCATCGGGACTGCAGTGCAGGCTCTCTGGGCTGCACTTCGGCTTCAGTGTAACCTCAGGCAAGTCATTGATCCTTTCCAAGCGTCAGCTTACTCAACTGTAAATGGGGGTAACAGCCAACCGGACACACCACTCAGATGGCTACAGACATTTTGGATTTAGCATTACTCAAACAGAGCTCCCCATCTTCCCTGGCTTCCCTTTGCAGCAAGCGGCTTCTCTGTCCTGGTAATGCCCCAGGGCCACACATCTGGCAGTCATTCTTGACTCCCCTCCACTTGCGCCATACACCATGCCTGAGCCATGAGCGAATCCTCTCAGCACCACCTCCACGGGAATCTGACTTCTCTCTACCTGTTCATGTCACCAGCCTCTTCCCCTGGGGCTGTCCCCGAGCATGTCCTGTGCTGATCCTGCCGGGTCTGTCCTGCACACAGCAGCCAGCAGGTCAGACCCCATGCTCTGCTCAAACCCTCTGCAACTCCATCTCATTCAGGCTGAAATTTAAGGTCCTTATTATAAAGGCCCATGAGGCCCTACTTGACCTGCCTGGCTTGCCTCTCACCTCTACTTCAACTGCAATCCCTCTCGCCCTGGTCAGTTCAGTCGCCTCCCCTGCCTGATTTCTTCTCACAACATTGAGCAGCATGTGGCATATTTAAATACTGCTTGTATGTACTGTCCATCTCCTCCTGTCAGGACTCACTTCCACAGGTAGGGAGTGTTGTCTCTCTCATTCACTGCTGCATCCCCAAGGATGACAACAGGTTCTGCCTGTGATGCCCAGTTAGGTGATGACTACAGGAAGGAAGGTGCCCCAGAGGCAGGTAGGGGTGAGGAGGTCTGACACAGAGACACTGGGGCTGGGCTTTGCTAGCATCACCTTGCTGAGTCCTCATTGACAACCCCCTGACCTCTGCGAAATTATCCACCTCCCACAGATGTGGAAACAGGCTCAGAGAGGTTGAGTCACTTGCGCAAGATCACATAGTAAGTAAGCCAGAGAATGAGGTCTGACCTCAGAGCCAGGACTGTGGGGAGGAGGAGGATGGGAGTGACTTGAGATAGTTGACTGTCGGTCAAAAGGGGCGCTCTGCCAGTTTGTCATTTAGGAAACGAGATAAATGGTTCATTCAGAATAAGAACAGGTGACTTATTTCTATCCCCCCATGAGGGAATCTGTATTTTGAATCGGAGATGATGGCTTAATCTAGTTCTCAACCAGGGTTGACTTTTTCCCCAGGAGGAAATATTTGGCAATGTCTGGAGACATTTTAATTGCCAGTGCTCCTGGCATCTAGTAGGTGGAGGTGAAGAGTGCTAGTAAACACCCCACCATGCACAGGACAGCCTACAAGAATGAGCTCACCCCAAATGTCAGGAATGCCACTGTGGGGAAGCCCGCCTTGGCAAAGGAGGCTCCACGGTTAGCCGCAAGTGCTCTGCAACCACCCCTCAGCCTCTGCACTGTTCCCACAGTGTGGCTGGGTGGGCAGCTCTGACAAGGAGGCCCGTGGCCTTCATCAAGTCTCCTAAGGGCTCTGAGACCCCCAAGGTCAAGAAGCAGGGCTCTTGCTCCTTGCTACTCAAAGTGTGGTCGGTCAGAGGCCCAAGCGGCAGTGGTAGCATCTCCTGGGAACTTGTGAGAGACACGCTCAAAATTAAGGTCAGCTGAAATTGTTCAGAACGTTTGTTTTCTTCTTGGAGTGAGTCTCCATAATGTTCTCAATGTGACCTTCCTGGCCAACTCAGACCAGAGGGCTGGAAGCAACTGTTAGGTCACGGGCTGCCGGCACCAGCCACAGCAGGCAGTGAGGCATCCCCCCAACATCAACACCACTACCGGGCAGCCCTCCAGCTCACTCCCTGGGCCAGGCAGTCCGCCCAGGAAAAGCCCTTAGGGAGACTGAGGGCCAAAGAAGCAGATAACACAGCCTCAGAGTCTCCAGCTCTGGTCTCCAGCCCTACTTACCTGAGGATCTCTCTGTTCTTTCCCAGCAAAGATTCCAAATAGGAGTAGCCCAAGGCCCGGTAGAAACAGTTCCCGTCCCCCTTGGTCTTGCGGATGGCGGTGAACCTTTTGCTGAGCTCCTGGGGGGCAGAGAAGGAAAGCTGGACGTCCGCGAGGACAACACCCCTCATGTTGTCCTGTGAGGGCTGTGGCCCCACCACTCCCAGATGACACCCGCCCACTCCTCGCAGACTGCCTGCCCCTGCACAGCCTCCCAACTCCCATTCGTCCCACAAATATAGGACCATGCTGACTGCATCCTTGTGGCAGGCACTGAACGGTGAGCCGAGTGCTGAGCAGGCGCCACTGTCAGGCAGTCTGCAGTCTATGAGGCAAGATGGAGAGTCAGAGATGACAGGAGGAGGACAAGGGGAAGCACCAGGGGTGCCTGGGAGCAATGGCCTCTACACCAGACTTCAGAGATCCAGGAAGGCTTTTGGAGGAAGGGTGCTGAGAGGAGCAGGCATGGCATAGGTGGCAGGGTGGCAGGCGAGAGCAGAGGCCATGGCGGGTGGGGTGGGACTAGGCACTGGGCCAGGAGTCTGCAGAGTGGGTAGGAAGGGCCTCCTTAGACATAACTGAGCAGTCCGGCCAGTCCTTCAGATGTTTTGCAAAAGGTGTGGCCCTCCCCATGCCACCTCACTCCAGTTCTGTCTGTTCGTTCTGAGATGGCCTGGGGTGGGGTCCCCTTGCTGCCTCATGGGCCCACAGGCAGCGTTTAGAGAGCAGAGCATGATTTCAAGGGGTCAGGGAGTTCCCTGCTCCCACCATGGCGATGAGAAGGCTCAGAGTTGACGGGGCCCACCTGAGGCCGGCAGGCGGGGAAGGACAAGTTCCCTGGAAAACCTGTCCTGTCTCCCTAGAGGGCCCCAGGGGACAGAGTCTGCTGCCCAGCACTTGCTCCTGCCTGTTGCCCGGAGAGGGTGGGGGGTGCGCCAGCTCCTCCCACTGCCCTGTTCTCAGATCTGTCCCCACATCCTTCTCTGTAGCCTGGCTGGAATGGGCTTCCCCCCTGAGAGATGTCCGAGCAGAGAGGCTGTGAGTACAGCTTGTGAGATCAGGCTGCCTGGCCCATATCCCAGCTCAGCTTCGCACTAGCTACAGGATGTGGGCCTGCCATTTAATTTCTGAGCCTCAGTGTCCTCAGTTGTAGAATGTGGATTACCTCGCAATGTTGTACTGAGGTCTCTGAGTAAATAAAGCATTGAGGATGTGCTTAGCTTTTTGAAAAATTACTATTTCTTGTGCAACTAAAGGATTTCTCACTAAGGCAAATGCCCAACATCAAAATATTCTGGGAGCCCTTTAATTTGCTTCGGAACCTGGTCGAAATACTAGGTCTCATTGCCTTCAAAGTGCTGTTCTCTGCCTTCTCTGCTCCCAACTCCAGCCTACTGAATCTAGGATCCCCTCCTCCAGCCTTCTGCCTCACCTGGATTTTCCTCTGGTAAATCTTGTTTTCAGGATGGTCCCGAAGAATTGATAGAATGTCACATTTTTCTGATATTAAATTAAAAGATGTTTCACTCTGAAAGAGAAAAAGAAGGAAAGATGTAACAATTTCAAGTGCAACTGACTCACCTTGCAGAAAGCCTCTGAACTGCTACAAGACATAGTCAATGTTACCTTCCCACCTAAGCATGTGTGAGGACACCTCCAGTGTGCTGGGCGCCATGTTCCCTGGACAGGTAGGTAGTCAGGGTCAGCCCGGTCCTGCAGGTGTGTCATCTTGTAACCTCCAAACTGATCATTTCATAGAATATAATACCTCAAACCTCATGAGTCTTAATCATGGTGTATATCATGTCCCTTTGTCTCCTTCCAGTCTCAGCCATTCTCATTCATTCCTTCATGTATTCACTCCCCAGTTCTTGAACATCTAGTCTGCACCAAGCACAAAGTTACATGCTAGAAATTCACAGGTCAGAACACCTGGCCAGATGCACAGTCTACTGGTAAAAGTTCGTATTTCTGTCCATCTCTGAATCTAGGTCACTTCCAACCCAGAGAGGTAATAAGACTCCTGGACCAGAGTCAGGGCCTCTGGAGGACTGAGAGGACCTCATCTGGCAGGGGGCAGGTAATGGCAGAGGGAAGCTCCAGGGTCAGGGAAAGAGCAGAGATGGCTCTGTTCCAGTAGCTGACTCCCTGGCCTCCCCTCTGCCTTATGCTTCTCCCACCCAGACTCAGGGCTCAGACAAGGGGGAGAGGCACCCCTGCCTCCAACCTACCCCAGCAATGGCTCTGATTTCAGCATGAAAATAACCTAAGAGGCATTGGTGCTAAAGCCACTTGTAGTTTATGGTTTAAAATAAATGGCCCTGGCACCAGCACACAACCCAAGGAGGCAGTTCTTACTCATCGTACACAGCTGACAGGTTGACCTTAATTGAGATCTGTGTAAGTGGGAATCCAGTTTTCCATCGGTTCATCGCCATCATGTTTTCAAAGTTGTCACTGGAGCTCATCACTTTCACTTTATGCCTCTGACCACGAGGGCCCTTCCCAGGTGGCCTCTCAGCCTCCTCACTGACTAGACAATGACCTCAACCCAATACCACAGTGCTTACACGGGAGCCTCTGATGTTACAAACCCCTTTCCACCTGGAGAGAGGTATCTGGATTGTTGATGATGAGATTACTCTAAAGCTCACCACCAAAAGCAAAAGAGCTGGGCCGCAGGATCATATAATGAGGTGTAAGTGACTTCTATGATTACCCCTGTCTTCACTGTCCAAACTTCTGTCTGGCAATGAGCTTCTTTAGCTCCAGTTCCTGTACCCAGCATCTAGGACTAAATGGCACTTGGGACTGGGAAGGAGCATTTCTGGGGGGCCTGGATGCCTCACCCATCAAAGTCTCCAAAGCCACACAGGCTTCCCTTGGCACAGAACAGCTTGTCAGACTGTCTGAGACCTTCCATTCACCTGATTCCCCAGGTCCCATCACAGAGCCTGGAACAGAGCAGAGGATGAGCTGTTTGTTAAATGACTGAATAAAAGTCACTTCTACCATGAAGCCTTCCTGGTTGCCCTATCCCATCTGAGTCAGGCTTGGGCTATCCCTTAAACTCACGCTTTAATTTATCCCTTTCTGATGGCCGCAAGCATGCCCTCCCCTGGATTTAGGGAATCATGGCACCTTTCCAGAGGAAAGCCTAGGAGTGGAAAAGGTTGAATTGGTTGTCCCAAAAAAGAACAGGAGGAAAAGTGTTTCTAAAAGAGGGAAGAGAGCATGCAAATGCTTGTGCATGGAGGAAGGGACTCTAGGTTGTTTCTGGAAGCTTCCATTCTATGCCCACACTTCTTTGCAAAATTAAGTCAGCCTGAGGTTACTTCATTGCTTCTGCTCTGGCACCAGAGTGACACGCTGGCAGAGCAGTGGCGAAACCATGAGGAAGAACCAAACAGCTGCCTGGGACAGATGCTGTGGGCTGCTTTCCCACCAGCCATTGCCCAATTCTTCCCTACTGAAGGGATCCCTGTTTACTCTGTGCAACGTGATAGAAAATGCCTGGGCTTAGTCATGATAACCGTAACGTCCTCCTCAAGGATTTTCCAAGCCTCCCTCGCAGCTATTGGCAGCTAAGTGACTGGGGTTAACTGGGCCCATGAAAGGTCTGCTGGGGGCTTTGGGGAAGGCTTTTGGTTTCAGATAAAAGGAACAGAGAGGGCATGTCTTTCCTATTCTTTGCTCCTCCTTCCTTCCTTTAATGCAGATGCAATGTCTACCTTACAGTAGCCATCCTGTGACCATGAAGTTGAAAGTCAACACATGGAAGATAGTTTGATTATCTGCTACTATCTTAAGCCCAAGATGTATGAAATAACAACAGATGCCATTTTTGTGCACCTACTATGTGCCAAGCTCTGGGACAGAGGCTTGCATAACTCTGTTATCTCATTTAATCCCCACTTACAATTATTACATCCAGTCAACTTGTGTTGCTCGCTTGTGCCAGGAAATGATTTAAGGCAGATCTGACTCTGAAGCTCACAGAAACTCTACCAAGTCAAACTGCGAGGCAGATAAAGCTCAGAGTCCAGGAGCCCTCAAGGGACCAAGGCTGCAAGACCTCCAAGGAGCCCTGTGTGCAGGACGGCCTGGGGCCTTCTCCCCATCAGGCCAGGTCGCACCCTTCTGGCCCTGCAGCTCCTCCGGTCGGGCAGATAGCATAGCTCTCATGCTCCCTAACAGCACCCACCAGTCTGACACTTGTCACAGCTGAATGAGAGACAATTTAAAGGTGATATCCAGACATGCTGTTAAAAGACATTGGCAACATCTGGAGGGAAACTTATTCTTTTCAATCTCTTTAAAACTTCCAATTGCACCAAGGAAAAGGCTGGTTGCTAGCGACGCTCTAACTCCTTCCCGCTTTGCTAGTCTCTTTTCTGCAGAGTGAGCAAACCTGTGACTCAGAACTTAAAAGTATTCCATTTTCATTTGCATTTTTTTGACTTAAAATAAGTGGCTCTATTCATGGGCATATTTATAGGAAGTTTACATGTTTTAATCTTTTCAACACAGAAGATATACATTATTGAGATAATAAACAACAATTACTGGTGTACAGTTAATTTTGTACTCAAAACTGGATGCTAACAAAGCAAATACCCATGGGATCTGGTAAGTTTCAGAATTACAAATGGCAAGATGCCAAGCAGTTAATAGTTAACAGAAAGTGCACCTGCTCCAGGACACCCTTCTCACTCACGCACATACGTACTTCATTCCAAAATCCCGTTATTTGCTTCACTCACAAAAAGTCTTATTGTTACAGATGGGCAACTAAAAACAGCAGCTTGGGGCTTTTAAACAATGGATTAAGAAGTAGTACAGCTGTGTGAACACCCCTTGTGTCTGAACTGCCCCAAACAAAACCAACAAAATGTGGGCAGGGGGAGAGGACAAGGGCCTAAATCGGCAATGCTAGTTAGCAGATTCCGAGACGATATGGATGGACTGGAAAGGAGTTTAATGAATTAATCTTGAATATGCAGAGGTAAGTACTTCAGATGTAGAAAACCGCCATTAACAGTCAAAATGAGAATATTAACAGTGGGTCAGGGAGTGGAAATGCACCTTATGCCAGGGAAGCATCTAAGTTTTCCACTTGCCATTGTAGTAAAACTTGGCATTTTTTATGAGTTGACTATGCTATTTAACACAGTCATTTCCCCTTCATCCCTGAGCCCTGTTCCCAACCCTCCATCTCCCTGACCCCACAGCTGCTCTCTATGCTATGTCTTTTGACATAGCTGCCTGCTTATTTTTAATTATGGTGAAATATATGCATGAAATATGCCTCTGTAGACCGTTTTTTTAAGTGTGTGGTTCAGTGGCATTAGGTACATTGTTGTGCAGCCATCTCCACCATCCATGCCAGGACTTTTTCATCATCCCCAACTGAAACACTAACTCCTCATTCCCCACCCCCCAACCCCTGACAACCCCCTTTTACTTTCTGTCTCTATGAATCTGCCTATCCTAGGGACCTCATATCAGTGGAATGTATTTGTCTTGTTAAAAATACAGTTTTATATATGCATGTGTTTTAAATGTGCATATGTATTATTCTATAAATATCATGTTTTTTTTTCCTTCACTTAATACTATTTAAGCTTTATCCCTCCTGACAAATGTCCCCTGGGTCAAGCTTCCTCCACGCCCAGGAGATAGAGCCTTGGTTAGCTCTAGCGCCCCCTAGTGGTCCCTGGTGCCTTTGCTTTAGTCCCCGGTGGGCAAGTGGGTTTCTACCTTGGCACCTTCAAGTCCCCATCTGGCATGCCTCTACCCAAGTCAGCCCGAGGTGGTCCCTGCCCCTCTGCCCACCAGCACGGTCCTGCTCACACCCCTTGGAAAAACTAGAACCTCAAACTCCAGGGAGCCTGAGCACAGCCTCAATTTACTGGCCCACAAAGCAGGTACAGTGCTCTGGGTTTGACCTTGGCTGACTAATTGGTGGTTTGTTTTATAAAACCACGGCTGAAAATTTCCAGGATGTTATGGAGAAAGAACAGATGGGCCACACCTAACAATGTCCTGCCAGACCTAATCAGGCCACCAGAAAGGATTTTTAGCCTTTAATTGCTAGTTTGCAAATAGATGTAATTAATTTAGTCAGGTAGATAACACCTCTGCTTGGAAACAGCTTTCAGCAAGTTAACTTGATCAGAGAGAGAAAACCGATATTTCTTCAATCACTGGCTCTCCCCCAGCAACCCTGGGAACCAGCCTCATGCACCCGAACGTGGGCCTGGTGTTCCGACTGGTTTGGGTCCTCACGGGGAGTCTGGACTCCATGTGTCTTCCTTGGCCGTTTCCTCCTATAGCCTAGGATTGGCTCATGAAGCACCTACTATGGCCCTGTGAACCTGCACCTGATCGCCACCCCTGATTCACATTCTCTTCTCCAAATGCAGGAAAAGTCCAATTCCTCACTTCTGACTTGGCTCTAAAGACTTTCTACACATCTACAACCTGCCTGTGTAGCCCCCAGGAGTTCCTCCAGCCTGAGACCACCAAAAAAACAGGTTCCCCCAACCCCTCCACCTATATCCCAGTCCACGGATCCTGCCATATGAGTCCGAGGCCCTGGCAGCTGCTGGTGAAGAGTCTCCAAGCAGAGCCAGCGAGAGGCCCCGCGCCAGGGTGACGCAGAGCTCCGCCCCCGTGTGCCCCGCTCCGCACGGGAACCCCATGTGCCTGCCCTGTGTGAGGATTCCAGGTACCCCCAGGAGAGCTGGTGTGGTGGGGGAGACCCGGAGCTGCGGGATGGGGAGGGGCAAGCTGGGAGTGGGCTCTGGCAGCTCGGTCCCACAGGCTCTTAAGGCCTGTCCCCTGACCCGATATGTGACCCCAGCCAAGATAGCTACCCCTCCTAGAACAGGTACAACTCCGGATTTGAACCCAGCCTCCCTGGGCTCTCATGGAAGTGAAAGGCTAGGAGAATGAAGCTCCCCAAGGACAGGGCCCTCAGTCACTTAGGCTCACGGGTGCACCCCACATGCTGGAACAGCGTCTGATGCCCAGTGGGGGCTCAGAAATTGTTCATTGAGTGAAGGAAGCTGCTTTTGCTGGGCAGTTGCTGTATGCCAGGTGCTGTGTATATTATCTCACCTAAGCCTCTCGATATCTCTCTTCTATAAATGGAAACTGAGGCACACAGCAGCAGGCCATTTGCCTGAGTTCTGACGATGAGGCAGCCTCAGGCAGGCACCTGGACCCTGGTCACCCAGCACAGAAAAGGTGTTCCATGGACCGGCGCCTTTCTGCACCCTCTCAGCACCTGGCCCTCCCATGTGCCCTACTTCACTTCCTGTCCACTCCTCAACAGCCAGGCCTCAGCCTCAGGACTCTGCGTACAAAGCCTCCTCTGGCATAGCCTTTGATGCGCCTGTTCACATCCCCCTCTGGGCCCCAGGGGACAATGACAGGCTGCTGGACGCTGCTCCACTGGCAGGCTGACCCCGGGCTGAGTCAGTCTCATTAACCAGGCCCAGCCCACAGAAGCCACAACTCACCGCGTGGCCTGACCTCATGCTACCGACTCCTTCACAGTAGAGGCCGAAGCCTCCAGGCTCACCTGCCAGCAGGGCAGGGCTCCGAACTCGGCCAACCCCGCCTCAGCAGGACCCTGTCACTTCCAGAGGCTCCCCGGGCTTCCCTGGGCCTGCCTGCCTGGGGCTGGGCTCTCCACAGTGGGATGCTGCAGGGGCTGGAAGGAAATGCCCTTTTAAATGTCTATGTCATGGTATAATGTATAATATGCAAATATATGGAAAGAGCAACATTTTTATTGATGAGTGAGCAAAACTGTTTGGAGGCCAAAGATTTAGGAGATACCTAGTGTCCTGAGCTAGTTCCCTATTGCACTATAACAAGTGCACACAAACTCGGTCACATGTAACACAATTTACTTACCTTGTGTTTCTGGAAGCTCCTAGGGGAGAACCATTTCCTTACCTTGTTCAGTTCTAGCAGCTCGCAGCACTCCTTGGCTCACGATCCCTTCCTGCCCTGATCACGTGCCCTCCTCACTCTGACCCTCGTGCCTCTCTCCCTTCATAAGGACCCTGTGATGACATCCCTGGGCCCTCCTGGGTAATTCAGGGCACTCTCCCCATCTCGAGGCCTGAACTTCATCATACCCTCCAAGTCCCTATTGGCACTTGAGGTACCCTATTCACAGGTTCTGAGAAATAGGATGTGGACGTCAGCAGGCTGTTACTTGGCCTGCCACCCACATGCTCCTCCTTTGCTGTTCAGCACAGGCAATAGAGAAGACCCTGCATCTGGGCCACCACTCCCTTGGGAAACAGTTATCAGCTGGCCCTGCAGAGACCCTGAACTCAGGTCTGGCCCCCTCTAGTTTGATGCCTGGACTCAGACAACATCCTTCTTATGGACTCTCAGATCTTTGTGTCTCCCACTCATACCTCTCCCTGGAGCTCCAGCCTCAAACAGCCACCAGCCACCAGGATGCCTGCCCATCCCAACAAATGACTGTGCCTCTAAGTGCTCTCTTGTTCCACCCCTGCCTCCTCTCCAGGTGTGCCCAGCTCCCCAAAAGGCCCCTCCAACTGGTCAGAGCTCACATCAGACCCCGGGGTCCTCTTCCATTCCTCTTTCCCCATCTGCTCTGCTCCTGGGTCTGGCCTGAGTGGCCACCCTCTGCCCCCAGGGGAGCTGCAACAGCACCTGCCCCACTGACCTCCTGGCCTCACTCCAGCCCCCCCACCCCCACCACCCTTCCACAGCAGCCAGCGCAGGCTGCTTACCAGGTAAATCAGGAGAGAGCATTGGCAGAATAAACCCAAACTCCACAGTACAGCATGTGAAGCCTTTCACAGCACATTCTGACCCCACCTACCTTTGTAGACTCACCTCACATCCATACAGTTCCCTACATCCATCCACACGGGCTGCTCACTTTTCATGGAATATCCCTCTCTTCACTGTGTTTCCGGGCCTTTAAGCACACTGTCTCATCCTGCCTGTAATGCAGTCTTCCCAAATTCTTCCTGAACAATCCTATACATGCTTTAAAACCCATTCAAAAGACCCTCTTGTGAAGCCTTCCCTGACACTCCCTGCACTGCCAGAATGCACCAGCTTCCTGCTGTGCTCTGAAAGCCCTTGGTCAGATCTTTCATGGAAAGACCAGTAGCTCAGGAATTGCTTGTGTCCAGCTCTCAGCTCTGTCTTGACCAGCAGGCAGTGGGCTTCTAAGAGAGGGCAGGTCCCTTGTCTTTCTTAGAGCCCAGCACAGGACTGACGAGGTTGCCTACACTTATTTGACAGAAGAACAGAGCGCAGAAGGGCTCTGTGGTCTTCCTGTACACATTCATTCACCGAATGTTAAGTGCATTGTGAGTGAGCATGACAGCCTATAGGCCCTGCAGTCACTACCTACAGTCCCTGCCAGTGGCAGCCCCAGGCCTGGTCCTTGTCTTGGCCCCTGCCTTCGTAAAGGGCTCTTTGTCTTCTACCTGGGACCCTTCCATAAGCTTAGCCCAGTGAAATGGGAAAGGAAAGAAGACACTGCATTTTTCAAGGACATTCTCCTCTGCACACAACACACACACCTCCATCCATGCCACACAGGCCAGGCTCAGTAGAGTGCCTGACAAACAGTAGAAGCTCAATATAAATGCTGGGTGACTGGAAGAGAACAGACCCTGCACAGCCTCCTCCCAGCCCCGGCCCCATGATTCCCAGGCAGACATCCGATTTAGGAGGTGAACCACCTCCTTCTCCCTAAGGCACCCAAGCTGCTCCTGACTGGGTGAGGATGTGGTGCCTTTGATCCATCTGCCCTCTAACTTCTGGTGTAGGGAGTCCAGAGCAGATGGGAAGGTGGAGTCAGAGGCCTCACCATGCAGCACAAAAGCCAAAAGTTCAGGTCCCAGCCTCCACCACCCCTGCCCTGCTCTCAGCTACCCAGAGGTGGCCAGAAGGCACAGCAGCCTCCAGCTTCCGAGTGACCACACCCATCATTACCCCAGCTTCTGCCACACTCCAGTGGATGACGCACAAACACCTGGGCCGCCTTCCAGGAACAGTTGAACCAGGCAAACCCTTGGGCACTGGGTAGAAGCAGGAAGCTGATGCTTCTAGATGCCCCAGAGGCCCCCTGCCACAGCCCAGCAGCAGGCTGGTTTGTCCAGGGCAGCCTCAGCTTACATGACCTCGTTGCCCACGCCACACCAGAATGTGCCAGACCATGGCCAGGCGTGACCCATGCTCCAGCCCAGCAGCATCCTGCAGGGCGACCCATTTCCCTGCCAGACATGTGAAGGAGGTGGCCAAGCACAAAGAACCCTGCGCCTGTGCACACCACCTTTCAGGAACTCTGTTATCACAGGAAAAGCCATGGCCAACTACCTGGACCAAGTGCCCCACACTCATCACCTCACAGGGTCCTCAAAGCAGCCTACTGTACAGATGTGCAAAACAGTGCTGGGGGAGGGGAAAGGGACCAAAAAAAGCCTCTTGGCTTTCCAAGGGTGGTGAGATCTGAACTCAGGGCTGTGTGACCCCAAGCCACCCTAAGGCCACCAGCCCTTACACTGTACAGCCTCCGTGGAGCAGGGGACTCAGGGTTGAGGGGTTTTAGGCAGCCATCACACCCAGTCCCCTGTAGATTGCCTGCCCCACTTCCCCCACAACCTGTAAGGCAGACCGATGTGACACATAGAGCACTGGACTGGGAATCCAGAGGCTTGGGTTCAAGTCCTAGGCCCAGCACATCAGTCCCAGCCCCTTCGCAGTCTGACCTTCAGCTTCCCCACTTGCCCAAGACCCAGGTTTGGCTGCCTTCAGAGTGTCTCTGGAACCCTTCTGCTCAGACACGACTCTGTATCAGAGGTTCCCCTAGATTTTGCTTTGCCTGGACCCCTAATTCACGTGCCTCACAACTTGAGGCAGCCTTCCCATGTGGGTCCTAGCTCCAAACACCCTATGTTGATGTGCTAGACAGAATATCCAGCGACCTGGCCACTTGTGCAGCCCCTCGGTCCACTCCTGGGGCTTGGGAGGGGGGTATCTGATGACTGAGCCCTTGGGTGGGTGGGGCTATGAGCTGTCCGCTGGGGGACTACTTAATAAAGGGCTACCCTGAGCCCTGGAGCCTTCTTGTCCCCTCTCTTGTCAAGGGCGCCTACCTTGCGTCGGGGATGCGCCCTCGGGGACACGTGAGAAAACGCGCCAGGGAGGATACCTGGGTGCCAGCTCTGTCTCCTGTGCTGGACGTCCACGGAGGACGGCGGGGCACGTCTCAGGCGTTATAGGGCCTTCCCAGGAGGGAAGGGACCCCCAGCATCCGTCCTGACTCAGTATTCCCAGGGGTCAGAATGCTGGGGGTCCCGCGCTTTGGACTGAGCCTGGCGCCTGACCCCCACTATCGCGAGTGCACATGCGCCCTGGCAGCGATCCTGCCTACCGCGTCCCCCTTCCCGCTCCCCCTTCCCTGCTTCCCTCCAGGAACACTGACCATAGTGACCGGAGCCGTGGGGCCAGGTCCCGCCCCAGCGAGGAGCGATCCGGTGCGGGAGGGCGCCACGGGAGCCGCTGGCTGGCTCCGCCGTTGGGTCGGGAGGCGGGGGCCTCGATGGCGTGGGGGCCAGCGGAGAATACACCCGACCGCTCCGCAGAGCTCAGCTGTGTCCCAGCAAGACACACGCCCCACGATTGACGTCTGAGTCGGGCAATCAAAAGCCGGGTCACATGACGTCACAGAAAGTGGGTGGAACTTCACGCACATTCAGCCAATGTTTTAGGGGCCATTTGACAGTGTGCCGCCCCCTTTTAAAGACATAGAAAGCTTTTAACTAGCAAAGGAGTTAGCCCAACCCAGGAAGACCTGTCTTCATTTGTAAAGGCTGAAGGGCTTTTGACCAAAACTGCAAATTGAAGTCTTCTGAAAGATTAGCTGTCCCTCATTAATACCTAAACAGGGTTACATAAATAGTTTGCTCAAGATCCGAGGACAGGTGCTTCGGGAGCACGTGCCCTGTAACATTGTTACCTGCCTGCCCTTGTGTAGCTTTTAAATACTATTTTACCTCCTTCCAACTCATGAATCAGTAGGTTGCCCAGCACCCAATTAATGTTTGTTGAATGAATGAATTTCCAGGTTGAGATTCTGTGCCTCTGGAATTGTGTGGCGCGCACACACACACACACACACACACACACACACACACACACACACACACAGATATATGTATAAAGAACCAGGTTTGGTGATTCACCCTGCATACAAGCTCATTACTGCTGACCATCAAACAGAGGAATATGTATCATTCAAAGATTTATTCATCAGCCCTTGACCCCTCGGAGGTGATTTGTGGGGGGNATCTGTGGTCTTCCAAATTCGTATAATTTACTAGGTGAGGATTTGGGGGTCAATCAAGGGTCAAGGACCAACAACAGTAGAAGTTCTATTGGGCACTAACTGGGCATGGGGGACTGCTCTAAACCCTCAACTTACGTTACCTTAATTTTCTCACAACTCACTGATGGGGGTATATTATTATTTTCCCCATTATCCCTAGTTTACAGATGAGGAAACCGAGGCAGAGGGAAATTAAGGTACTTGCCCAAATTCACACAGCACACAGTGGGATTCCAGGCAGACTGACACTAGTGCTGGTTTTGAATTCCTTCTGCTGAAGAACCATTCACATGATTGTCGGGGCCTTGTGCTCGCTAATGCTTTTGTAAAGTTTCTCCTCCTTGTTTTTTACAGCCAAAGAAGCCAGAGAGGTGACAGGAGCAGCCCAGTGGTGCTCAGCTAGGAAGTGACCCAGCTGGGCTGGATCCTGGACTTTGAATCCCCCTGTAGTGCCCATGCCAGGCTGTGTTAGGCTTCACTGGGTGGGGGAATGACTGAGCCAGTGACAGCTCCACGGGGTGCCTGAGGAATCTTTGCCAAGGAAAAGAGGGAAGGGCCTGTGGGGGCATTGCCTGCGGCCTGGTCTTTGGCTTCGCCCTAGTCAGGCCCATATCTGAGGCATTCGGGGCCTCAGGGAGGAGGGCCCTGAGTGAGCTGACTGATGCTACTAGGAGCCCTCATGTTGGGCCACCCTGAGCCATTGACCCCTCTCCTCCCCTTTCCAGACCACGACACCTCCAAACTGAGCTGCCACTGGTGAGTGGCAGGAGCACTAAGCTGAAGTATACATGGAACCTGGGCCCTAATGATGACTCTGTCACTCACTGCTCTGTGGCCTCAGGTGATTTCCAGGCCCAGAAAGAGGCTCAGTGAGAGGGTTGGACAATCTGGGTGATTTAAAAAAAAAAAGAGATATGTAAAAAATATTTTTAATAGTGAAATTTTTACACAAAACAGTCTTACCCAGAATCTCAGTACATGTGTAATGAAATCTTTCCTTAACTTGCAGCTCGAATGAGCAGGGAAAATGAAATGTAATATCTTTAGTCTATAAGTAGTCAGGCTTCTTCCGGACTTGCTAAAGCTGGTTAGAAGAGAAAAAGTGTTTCCAGGAGTTCCACTGGGTCCAAGTTGAAAATGTGAGCAGCCCTTTCAGGGGCCGCCCCGTGGCTGGGTGTAAACATGTTCTGTCGGGAATAAACTGGCTGTCCTCTTGCTGTGCTACGTCTACCTGGTGCTGGGCTATCCGGGAGGGGTCGGGGGAAGGCTGCTATGGCCCCACAGGTTCAGAGAGGAGGGTCTTGACCTCCAACACAGGAGTCGGCACCAGGGTGCTGGACACCCCAACATCCGGGGCTGGGCTCCGTGGCCCACGTGACTCACGGTCACACCCAGAGAGGCCTCCCAGGGTTCCCCGCCTTACTCTACCACACTGGCCCCAGCCCACCTTGCTCACTCCCTCTCCCTCACCTCCCCACTTCCCCAGGATGTGACTTAAGAGGATGGCTTCAACCTTCCCCATGCTCTTCTGCCTTTGATCCTTCGCTCCTCCCCTCCTAGAACGCCCATTTCACAGACTCCACTTGTCACATTCCACCTGTCCTTCAAATTCTGGCTGCTCCTCTTTGAAGCCTTCCCAGATTGCCAGGCTGGCCATGAATGCCTCTGAATTTCCACCACACCCAATCTGTCCTTCTATGGTGCTGACCCCTTACAACTGTAACTTGGAGGGGGTGGTAGGACAAGAAATGGCAAGTGGGGCATCGTGTATACTTGTGTCAGGATTCCCATGGCATAATGCAAGTCAAACCTTTCTGAGCCTCTGCTTCTCTGTAAGGTGGGGGCATTCATACCAAACTCAAAGGGCAGTCAGAGGACAAAGGGAGAGGTTCATGTAAAGTACATGGCACTGTACTTGGGATCTGGTAAGCGCTCAGAATATCTGGGCTGCGCATGGTAGTTAATGGGGCCTTAGTCTTGCTCATCCTTGTGGGACTAAACCTAAAGGGGACAGGTAAGGATTAGCATGTGGCAGGGAGGAGCCCCAAGGAGATTTGTGCCTGCATGCTTGAAAGGAGGTTCAGCTGCCCTCTCCCCAGCTCAGTGAAATGAAGTCATGGCAGGGGGACCTCAGGCAGCCACACCATGCCCGGCAGAAACTTTCGGTGCAGGCCCATTTCCCGGCACTCTTTACATTGTGATATTTTATGCATTTAGCAACACTTCTACCCTTCGCAGGCTGCAGGCAGGGTGCCTGCAGGAGGACCAGGACCCCAGGGTTGTAAAGTGCTTCACCTCCACACAGGATGGCCACATCATGCAGACTGCTCCCACCCCCTCACATCAGAGCCTGCAACTTGAGCTGGAGAACATGCTGAGATACAAACCTGTGTGTTGTTCCACAGCTGGGGAAGATCAGAAAGAATGAGAGCTAGAATGAGCCCCCTCCTCCTTCATGACACCACTGCCAGGGAGCAGTGCATGGGCCAGCCCCGGAGCCAGCGGGCTGCCCTGGCTCCCACCCCCAGGGGCAAGGTTGAGAAGGATGCTTTTATTTTTGAGAAAATGTCTTTCCAGGAAGAACAATGGAACTTGAGGGATTAGAGAACGGGAGGTAGGTCTCGCTGAACAGGGAGAACATTTTGGAATCAGATAAGGGGTGGAAGCAGGTGTCCCAGAACAGGGGGCACCCCTAGCCCTCCTCCTTGCTCACATGTCACCTGCTGGGCCCTAAGAGGAAAGACCTGTACTGTCCAAGGAAACACAGGTCATTGGCCTTGCTAGTGAGGGTCCCTTCAGATCTTCCCTTTATGGCCATGTATGTTTGGGTGAGGGCTGCAACAGGACCAAAGACAGTTCATTCAACATTCAGCAAAGGTGTACTGCACGTCTACTGTGTAATGGCATGGACCCTGCATGTCTGTGCACAGAACTACAAACATCAGCTTCCACTGTATCAGGGAAGTCACCTCCAGGGACTCGGCACCGAATCAGCAGCCCTGGACCACACAGCCCCAGTGGGATGGGGACAGAGCCCCCCAAATGGTTGAGATGCAACACAGTGAGAGTTCAATTTACTAGGGGAAACCAGAAGGAAGGCACTATTTCTTGTATCCTCAGAGAGAGCCCTGGAGAGTGTCACGTGACAGGCTGCTCTGGCTTTTCAAATGTGAGACAGGAAAATCTAGAGGAGAAATAATTTTACAAGGCCCAATTATAACACATCACTGCTCACTTTTCAGTTTAAACATGACCCACAGCCCCTGAAGGGTAATAGCTGGGCCAATTTTCCCATCAACTACCCATCTGTGGGCTCCCCCAGGCCCAGGTTTTGACAGCTTATGTTTCTTCAGTTCAGACAACAAGTGCTTGTACCCCACATGGCCTCGGGGGCTAGGCAGGAAGCACTCTCTGGCTGCCATGGAAGAGAAAGCTTTGGGTGTGGTTGTAGAAAGTGGATGCTGGTGGTGGTGGGCTGGGGGAGGGCCTGGGCTTGGCAGAGCCCCTACTGCAGAGCCCTGTCCCGACCTCCCTGAGGTGGGCAGAGCACCAGGCTCTGAAGGCGGGTGGAAGGTGTCCTGGCTACCAGACTTGGGGCAGGCACCTGACCTCTGTGATAGGTGGCCTCCACTGACTGCCCCCGGCCCCCCACCTCCTGGGCTCCTGCCCCATATGATCCCCTCTCCTCAAGCATGGGCTGCACCTACCGACTTGCCCATGACAACCAGAGTGTAAGAAAAGCAATAGATGGTTGCTTCTGAGGTTAGGTTCCCATAGACTGTAGCTGCCCTCTTCTCTTCTCTCTGACTTGCCACCTTGCCAGCTGCCTTGTGGAGAGGTCTGTAGGGCAAGGCACCGAGGGGGACCATCAGCCAACAGCCAGCAAAGACCTGAGGCCTTGGGTCCGACAGCCTGGGAGGGACGTCCTCTGCCAACAGCCACATGAGGGAACTTGGAAGCTGATTCTCCTCCAGTTGAGCCTTCAGATGAAACCACAGCCCTGGCCAACAGCTGAATTGAGGCCTTGTGGAGAGATCCTGAGCCTGAGGGTCTATGCCACCTAACCCATGCCCAGATGCCTGGCCTCAGGAATAATGAGGTAATAAATGTTCATTTGTGTAAGTTAAGTTTTGGGGTGATTTGTTACTCAGCATTCAATGACTAATACAGCCTCAGTCTGCTCCTTTGCAAAATGGGGATAATGATATTCATATGTCTGGGTAATGGTGTGGATGAACCCAGCTCTGAGGGTGACTTCCTCAAGCCCCCACTGGAGAGAGACTGGAT